CTTGCCAACAATGTCAAATCTAAATATTCACTACTTCCTACTTTATTTGACTCCAAATTGCTCTTATTGTAATTAATATGAAAGCACTGTATATTTACTCAATGCTCATTTCATACTTACAATCCACAAAACATTTTTATCAATAAATCATCAATATTTTAAGCTCTTTAAACTTCTCAAAAGCCACACTACATACTATAATTCAAATTTTTAACTCACAAAATTACTTTTCAAACTTTACTATATATAATTTAATACTTTTACTTATTTAAGATACAATCACACTTGACCAATATAAACAACTTCAACTAATTCTAAAAAAAACTAACTAACAACTTTCTTATCTCCTTATCTAACTCTCTACTCAACTGGTTCAACCTTACTATCTGGCAAACTTGTAATACTAAACAACATGAATAGGAATTAATACCCTTACTAAAAGGAAAAATAATGCTCGATTACCAATTATACAACCTTCTAACTCCAATAACAATATATTTGCATTCAATATCAATATCGACCAATTTATTCTTAAAACTCTTTCTCAAAATTTTACTATATATACCTGCTTTTACTAAATTAAAATAATCTTAAGAGTTCCTTTTACCCTTCCCTGTAGTTAATGATTACAATAGTAGATTTAACTAAAACAGAAAATTAAAGATTAATATCATGCTAGATGTCATTATATATATAGTAACAATAGTGTAGTTTAGGAATATTATATTTATACATTTATATCCAATTGATATACCTATGTATTACTATTTTTCCTACTTAATATTATATAAATAAAAAAAAAAAAAAAAAAAAAAAAAAAAAAAAACCATTTTTGTCCAAATTATACTAATACTAAAGTTATGTACTTGTATGTAACAACATTTTTGAATATTATAAAATTCTATAGTTGTATATATTAGAGTTAAATTAGAATTGTATTTTATATATATAATACTGTTATATAATAAAATTACTTTATAATTTATTTAAATAAGTTGATTAAAAATTTTTTTAATATATATATATATTATATATAAATAAACAAATAAATATATAATGTTACAAGATTAGATGTAATACAACATAGTGTTATAAATATAATTTTCTTTTTTTTATTTATAATAATGTAATTAATTTCTAATAATGTAAATAATTAGTAAAATCTATGAGTAACTTACTAGTATATACTAGAGTAATGAATATTATTTAGAAAATTTCAACTAATTTAGATAAGCCTTAGCTACTCTAGTAGATTTAATCTATAAATAAATATGTCTAAGCTTTTATTCTTATATGTAGTATTTATTATTTAGAGTTATAGTTTTATAATTAACAGTTTAATGGTTCACTCTAATTGCAAATATTTGTTTCAACTATAATATATATAGAACTTCTTTTTATATCTAGTAACTTTATGTAATTATTACTTAATAACTTTGAATAAAAATAGAAGCAAGACTTTATTTTAATACCAAAAAAACAATTTAAAAAATTTAGATTTAAGTTATCTGAGCTTCTAATCTTAATATCTAGTAGATATAAAATTTAAATATAAACTTTTGTATATTTATTTACAAAAATTTTAACTAAGTTTTAATAAAGATAAAGACAAAATTTCACTTTAATATTTTAAAAAATTTGAAAAATTAACTTTTGTTGATAATATATTAACAATTAATCAAATTTAATAAAAAATTTTTTATTTATATTCTACAGATCTGTAAAATATAAATAAATTTTTTTATTAAATTTGATCAAGTTATTGCTAAAATATATTTAATCAAAGTTTTGTTAAAAATTTTAATTTAAGGTTTTTTTTGTTATTTTAAAATTTAGTAAATTTTAATTAAATATATCTTAACAATTATTTAATTAAATTTAAAACTTTTTTGTTTAAATTGTAAAAATTTATAGAATTTAAATAAAGAAAAAAAACTCTTTCTGCAAATTCATTGCACAAAAATTAACTAAAAAATTGTTTGTCTAAAAATACTTATAACTATTTATTTTATTAAGATAGCTTGTTTTAGCATTTTAAGTAAAGTTGTACAGCTTTGCATTTTACATATTTCTACAAATATGTCACTTCTAACTTTCAAACCTATTGAAAAAACTGTACTGACAATCTTTGCCTCTAGTTTTAATAATTTAATTTCCTGCAATTTTTATTATTACAATCTGTCTTATACTCTTAATTAAAGTTATAATGCATATTTGCTCAGTTAAAATAAGTCTTAAATAAAGAATTTTGACTAAATATTGGCCAAAATATAGCTAAATTCATCTTTATTCTTTTGCAAAACTCTTTTTCTACATTTTGTTTTTACTCTATCATCTTTTTTCTTCTATATATTTTTTATATAACTATATGATCATTTTTAATCTATAATTTATTAATTTACATTAAAATTTTGTAATCTATCTATTGTTGCAGGCTAGAAAAACATAATAATTTATGTATAATAATATATAGCATAAACAATGATTAGGACCTATGAATCATATATGCATGATAAATCTTTACAATAGTAAAACATATAAAAGTTTATTAATATTTTAAAAAAAAATTTATAATAAAGTTTATAAAATGTTCTTAAAAATATATTTTATAAGTAAAGTATATTTTATATTATTAATAAATTATTATTTTATTTAAAAAATACTAAATATAATTTAATTTTTTAGGCAAATTTGTTTAGAATACAGTTTAAAAAATATATTTGTTTTTGTTTTTTTATTCTATTTTTTCTTAAGGCTTTTATTATTTTTAACTAATATTTTCTTTTAGTTTTATCTTTTAGTTATTTTACTTTTAATTTTTCTAATATTACTAGTTTTTAAGTTTTTATTTTATATTTTTTAATTATTTTATTCTTTTTTTTCTTTATTAATTAATCTATTATTATCTTAATTTTATTATTATTTTTCTTTATTATATTATATTAATATTGCTATTTATTTTTATTTATTATTAATAACTTTTTTATATATTCTTCTTTTCTTGTATATCTATCATATCTACTAATTTTAGTTGCCAATTAACTTTTTTTACTTTATATTTGCCAGTATTTTATTAATATATATATATTTTTTAATTATTTTTCTTAATTATCTAGTATCCTGTATATTATAAATAATTTATTTTTTTTTATTCTATTATTTAATACATGCTTTTACTTAATCTTTACTGTTTGAATATTATATTTATTTGTTTTAAAATGTTTTTTTATTTTTTTATTTTCTAGTTTTTTGAATACTTTAACTTCTATTTTTTTAAACTAATTTGCTTTTTTAATTTAACTTACTAAATTAAACTAAGTTTTAATAAAAATTAAATATTTTTTATATTTATATTGAATTATACCAAATGCTTTATATATAGGTTAGGTATTAAAAAAAAGAACCACATTGATAATTTTTTAAAATAAATTTTTTAAATTTAACTAGTTTAAAATTAACTTAGAACTCTTTTTATTTATAAAAGAAATACTATTGTATTAATAAAATTTTATAATAAAATTTTTTAAAATTTATATTTTTCTTTAAGTTAATATAGATTTTATAATATAAAAATTTTAGTTTTTTTTTGGTATTAAAATGACCTTTTTGGTCTTTTAATTTTATTAATATATTTTTAGAAATGTAGTTTTGTAAAGAACTATTACAAGAAGAGCATACAATTAGTTACTTATATAACTTTCTATATTATTTATTTAAGAAGTCTGCTTAATGTTCCTTACCAATTGCTATATCTAACATTTCTGCTTGGCTGTTCTATTTAAACCCTTTAAACCTGTTCTATATTACTTTATCAAGTTAAGCTTGGATTCTTTGTCTTAATCTTAGGACATTTTTATTCTCAAAATAAATCTACTAGAGCCTGCTATTTATCTATTTTTGCAACTAATCTGAATATTGCTATAGCAAAACTAACACTTATAGTCAGGACTAATTATTAAACTATTATGTTCTTGTAAAGTTTACTCAAACCTCAGTATCTACTTTACAGTATATTTCTAGTACTTTAGTATACCCTTATTTTTTTTACCAAATTTCCAATCCAAATAGTTTGTATAGGATGACAACTAGTTTATTCGTACAGTCATACCTCTTTATAATCACACTTTTGGGCAAAACAAAAATTGTGATTATATAGAGGTGTGATTATAAGTAAAAAAATTTTAATATTTATTTATTTAGTTAAAATAATTTGATTAGTCAATTTTAAACTATATAATCTCTTAATCTATATTATATTGTCTATTAGAATAGGGAACTGCTATTCACACTATGGGTTTTTGCTATTCACACCATGAATATACGTTATGTCGATTATTTCGATTATATCACATAATTACGGTCCCATGCAAGTGTAGTTAGCCAATAGGCTATTATCACGTTAAAATAGAATCTTATCATTATTTAAAGTAACAAATAAGTTAAGTAAAATTATTTTTTGGAGTTTTTTTTTTTTTATTCACAATGAATTTATTTAGAGGTTTTTTATTTTATTTGCTTTGATCTTTCTCTGAACGCGACAATTCGTCAAAAAGAATATTTCAAGTTCCAACTTTACATATTAGATCACATTTGAAAGTATAACTTTAATCACATATATTTCCTTCATTAAATGCTTATGCTTATAATCTAAAGTTAGCAATATTTTATTTTGCAGCATATACGAATACATGTAATATGTATTACAGTGTTTCTTTATATTGTTACTATAAATAAGTGTACTAAAATTTTTTTTTAAAAGTTTGTCTTTTAGAACTATATCACATAGATCAAAACAGCTATGATATATGAAGTGAATCAGTATATTAGGAGTTATAGTGTCTTAAGATATGTGTTTGCATTTTTATATTTTTACTAAATAAAATCTATACCTAATTTTGTTCATTGTTATTAGGACATGTTCTACTATTGTGCTCAGTTCTATAACATAACCCGCATTTTCTTCTTCCCAGTTCAGTCAACTCAAAAGCAGATGGGTCTCTTCAAATAGATGATTGTGCATTTCTTGCACCAACTAGGCATCCCCTTATGTGTTGTTCCTGTGGGTCTTGCATAGTAATAGCAGTTTCTTGAAACAAGCTTGACATTTCGTTCAAAGCTGTTGTTTGTTGGTAAGCTGGCTAAGAGTTAAATTGTTGACTATATTCTTGCCACCTTTGTTGCATAGGATTTTTTACTCCAGTTGGTATTGATAGAAACAATTGGTGTCTTTGAAGCCACCAATGTTTGTGAAAATCATTAAGTTGTAAGTATTGATTATTGTTGAGATGCTCTTGAATTATATATGAGCAAGGAAGACCCATCGATGATGTGAATGTACCAGTACAGGGTTGCAGTGAATTTTCTGATGTCGCACTGGTTATCTTCAAGAACTGTTCATGCACTTTTTTTAGTGAAAATACAGAAACTTTAGTAACAAACTGTGAATAAAAGGGTTAGTTTTGGGTGTGAGGAGTTCGAATCAACTCTTGAGAAATTTGGGTTTTGATTTCTTGGTATTGATTCTTCAACGCCAAGACGATTCTTTCATGAACTGCATGAAGGTCTCTGGTTGATACTTGAAGATACTTTTTCAACATTGCATAAGATCCTTCTACCTGTGATGTTATCACATTGCCCAAATGCAAGTAACAGTCTGTCCAGAGACTTACAAAATGCTTCTTGAATGGTAGCCATACATCCTGTAGGTATTTAGTAATTGATGGTTTCTCATTATATTTCCTTACCAGTTCTTCCCATTTTTCATTAAACTCTTCTTCTGATTTAGAATTTATAAGGATGGACCAACTTCTTAAAAATTCTCTTAATTCATCTTCTATAGGAAGGTAGTGATGGCAATTGGACAGCACATTTTTTTCAATGTGCTATATGCACAAGAAATTTCGTGATTTAGAAAAGATGGTACGTATGGCATGCATTAGAGCTAACTCTCTGTTGGTCATAATGACCTGAGGTTTTGAAATATCTATAAAAATATGGGCAATATGAACAAGAGCCTATTTATAATCTTCCTCCTGTTCTGACTTTAAGAATATGAAACAGAAGAAGAATGTTGTATTAAAGCTTGTCATTCCAATGATGTGAAGAAGGGCATTCTAAACTTATTGGTTTTATATATGCAATCCATTAAGAGAACAGAACTATAAGCTTTGGTAAGTATAATTGATATAGGATAGGCAAAAAAGAGGTGTGTTAAATGACCATCTTGATCACATTGATAATCATGTTTTCTTCTTTGAGCTCATCAAGAAGAGCCTGGATTGGCATACGACCTTTAAGGTTGTCACATCTAATCTTATCTCGTGCATTATATATGGTTTTTGAAATGGCCATAAGATTTGGGTTGTCTTGGCGAAAGGTTGAAAGCATTTCTCTAGGATGGATACCTGCATCAGATATTTGATGAACTCTTTGTTGTTCTTTTAGATTTAATCTGCGATGTGATAGGTGGCCCGACATGTCTTCTGACAGCTTATGGTTGTAAATTGGATTCTTTATTGTCAAATGCCATTGTTCATTTTTCTTTTTTCTATAGAGTTCAAAAGGGCAATCTATTAAGCGTGAACTCATGGCCCTTTGACAAGTTTCATCTGTAAGATTTAGAGAATTTCTATAGACACCACCTCTATCACAGCACAGATAAACAAATTTATCTCGTTCTAATCTTTTAATGCATACAGCATATCCATGATTAAGAGCATGAAATTGGGCATGTTGGATTAAAGCTTCATGACTTTCAAAGCAACCAGTAGATAGGGAAGTCAAAAACATGATTTTAAAAGTCTAGAGTGATGTATTCTACTTGAATAAGTATTATGTTTTTTTATTTAATAAACTACAAGCTTTTTTTATAACTTTTTAAAGCAATTTACTTTGCATTACAATCATTATTACAATCATTATTTTCTCATTAATAATATTTTAATACATTAATCTAAGACACACTTTTCCAGGATAAGTATTATTATCATTACTTCACCACTTTTCTGCATTACAATCATTTTAATTCTATTGATATAACTTTTTTCTTTTATTATTACAAGATAAGCATTAACACTTTGCTGCTTTATATCTTGTATCTAAATCATTATTGTAATATTTAATGTTTACATTAGTAATAATAATATCCTGATCCATTGGGAATTGGCGGAGATGAAGTTTCTGCTAATTCACATAAGGTCAGAGTATTATTAATTAATCCTTCTGTGATCTTGAATAGTGATCAGGGGATTACTAATATAATATTTAGATCTAAGATATACACTTTTCGAAGATAAGTATTATTAATACTCATCTACTTCTTTTTTGCATTACTATATAGTTGACTTAATAATTAATTTTTTATGTAATGTATATTATATTATATATTCAATTTTAACTTTTTTTTGGATAAGTATCATTGACACACTGACACTTTGTATTACCGCTTTGTGTCTTACATTACAATAGTTTTTACTTTACCTAATTTTGTCCAAATACTGACGCTTTTTCATATTTCATGTCAAAAGTCGTTATGCTAGTATATACTACCTAAAATAGTATAAGATCGAGGTAATCTAATAATATAGTTTCACCCAGAGATGATAAAAAAAATTTTTAACAGTTTAAAATAGGCGATGATTAAATATCAAAATAATTAAATCTGAATTAATCTTAATACTGTACGATTCAGCAGCAAAATTATGTGATAATACTTAAATTTAAGTTTCTGCATTTAGGGAACTACAATTGACAAACTAAAAATTTTAATAACATGCAGAAATTAGTTGTTCATTTATGCTTTATTAAATGTATTTGAAAGTTACAAATAAATCATTAGAAAAAATGCTTAGACCTCAAGTTTATGCAAATTATTTTGTTACAATTTAATGCTATCTATTTGTATGCTAGTCACTTATTAAAATTATTCTATAATGTAATAATTGTTCAAGACTAATACATGTGCTGAATTTGGGATAAAACTGCAGCGGTAGTAAATAAAAATGTATAAGGCAAGTATTTTTAATAACAAGAATTCCTTGCGCTTAGTAATAGGCATTATAGACCTTAATAGAAAATTTCACGATCTTATAAACTACTATAATAATGGTTTTTCTCTTACTAATATCTAATGCTTATTATATTGCGAATATATACATGAACCTGTCTCCAAACCACAGATCAGTAAAAATATTGTAAATAGTATAAAACAAGCATGAGAAATTAAGAATGCCTATATAATCACACTTACCCATTATATAAATTCTCCCTAAATAAATGCTTTGGCATGATTACAACCTTATACATATGTACGTATGTACGTACATATGTATGTACGTATGTATGTATATACGTGCAATAAAAAATCACTTAACTGTTAACAGTTAATGTGATATGCTTTAAGCATAATATGTGATATAATCGAAATGATCGACATAATGCATATTCATGGTGCGAATAGCGGTTCCCTTAGAATATTTATTTATTTTTTAATTTTATCATCATTATTAATACTATAAGTTTTCTATATTATAGGTTTTTTGGTAAGATATAGCATTGTGGCATTATGGTTATAGTATTACATTGTGGCATTATAGTATTATAGCATATGATATTTACAGCAATTAGATACTGTGTTAAAATGCTACAATGCCATAATTCTACCACCAGCTATAATTGGAACCACGGGAAATACAGTATTTAACATTCTGCTATCAAGCTACTGAATAATAATAAAATGAGACTTACTCATTATTTAAATGCTTTATGACAAAATATTAAACACTTTCTGCAGTTCCAATTCAGGTACCTATTTGCAGAACACTACTAACTACTTATCTACTCATTTTTAAATAATAAACATATCTATTATTGAAATTATAAACACAAATTCTATTTTCACTTACAACACTGATATTTATTTATTTATTTATTTATAGTATAATAAAACTTAACTAGTTAAATACATAAAAAATAATATATATTTAAAATATATCATAAAAATATTAAATTTTTTGAAAATAATCAATAATAGAACTTTGTTTTTTCGAATCTGATAAAATTCTACTCATAATTTTACTATATTTGTTTAATATTTTTATATCTTTCATATCAAAGTCAGAAGATTCTTGTTGTTCAAAAAAAGATAACCAAGTTTTTAAGGCATTATATGCCTCTTGTGTAGATATTTCAGATGGTTCTTTATCAGAGTCTTCTTGATCATCTTCAATAATGTTATCTTCATTTTAAATGAGGGTAATAATTTGCTAATCCATTAATGCTTCCTCTGTTGCAATAGTTTGGTTAACATTATTAAAAAAATCAACTACTGCAGAAGTAAAAGCAGTGAAATAATCATCCTCTCTAGAAAACCCATACAGAAGAGTATCAAGATTGTTATTTTTAAGTAAATTTGCTTTATTTTGAAATTCAGTAGCATTGATAATTTCTTCATCTTCAACAGCAGAAAGAATTCCTGTTTTTTTTCAACAATTGATAATTACATTATCATCAACTGCACTTCATATATCCAAAACATAACTAATAGCCTGTTTAAGATTTAATTTATTTCTTAAAAAAAAAAAATTAATATAGTTAAATCTTTCAATACTGGTCAAAATTGATAACCTGTCAAATTTGATAAAAAACTAATCAACCTCTTAATACTGATATAAAACCTGTTTATCATGCATATCAGTGTTAGAAGGATTTGACAGTAGTGCTCTGAATAGTTTTCAATTAACTAAAATAGCAATCTAAAACCTACAAATACAAATGGTATTAACTTATTTAATATTTACAAAACAAATTAAAAGATTAGAAAAATTAATACCATTTTAAAATTTTCTACAAAATTACTTGGTTTCATTTAGATAATAAATGCTAAGATTACATATTTTATTAGTAAGCAGATTTTGGTAATATATAAATGCTTTATGTTTGTCTTTTTTAAATTCTATTTAATTATAAACACCAAGACAACACATTTCACCAGTAAGCAGATTTTTGATAATGCATAACTAGCTTATGTTCGTTCTTGTCAACTTCATTTTCATGTTGATAACAAATACTAGGATTATATGTTCTATTAATATGATCTTTCCTAGTAGATTTTTGATAATAAATAAAAGCTTTGTGCTTTTCTTCTTCAATATCAGTTTAACATTGATAATGTCTACTACAAAAACATTATTAAAGATATATGTTTGTATAAAATTAGTATTTAGCATATTCAAGCTATAATAAATTTAATTGGATGATTATTATTATTAGTTTATTACTATTGCAATAGAACAAAATTACTGACAAAACCTATAATAGTCGATTTTTGAATATAATATGTTTGATCGTGCTTTACTAATATTACCCATCTTGACAAGTTGTTGATAATAATGAATGCTTTTTTTGACTTTGATTTCATTAGTAGTTTTATAAATTATTTATATTCAAAATATTTGCTTATTTTATTTGGCTCCAATTTCCTTTTGATAATGTATTCCTATTTCAAACAATTAGAACTATAAATAAATTACCTGAATTCATGAATGTTAAACTAATAAC